CCCCCCCCCCCCCCCCCCCCCCCCCCCCCTTCCGGAAAAGCGGAACATCCACCTCCTGATGAATAAAATGAGTTTGTAAAATGATCAGATGGTGTTCCTTAATTATTCAATCCAATCAAAGCCAAACATGCTACATTGAGGAAGCACCCTGCTCTCTATACTGGATGATTTTACTTCAATATTAAATTTTGTGCGGAAACCGCTACCGAAGATCCAATTAACATTACGCCTCTGTTCATTTAATCCTGCCGGCGAATCGGCGATTCCCACGAACAAAGGGCAAGAGCGCCATGGTCGACCCCAGGCAAGGCCCACCAAAAGCGAAGCCACGATCCTCGGCTATGGCCAGGCGAATAATCGAAGTCCTTTCCCTCCACGATTGGAATGTGAGAGACATTTATCAAGCTCCAAGTGAGAGTGAAGAGATCCATCTCACATCTCACCCACAGAGATTTCGGGATGACTCAACCCTAAAAAGGGCTGTGAGGCTGTTTCTACCCTAGCGACATCTAGCGAAGACTGATACGAGCAGCGATAAAAGTCGACCTATGGTCGTACGGTACGGTAAGTACGGGAGCGGTAAAAAAGTTTTGGGTTGAACCACTCCCCCTCCCCGTCGCCACTGCACTCTCAGTCGGGCCGTTCGGTTAGGTTTCTCTTTTGTAACCATGACGATGTACTTGGAACAGATTCGATTATTTGCTGATACCGTCCAGTATTCCTGTCAGTTTGCATACAGGCCTAAGATGTCCACAGCAGATGCAATTGCCTCTCTGAGCACTACAATCGCCCAGTTTCTTGACAAGAGGGCAACCACCTTTGTTAGGAGTCTCTTTCCTAATTACAGCTCAGCCTTCAATACCATAGACAGGAACCCAGCAAACAAGCGAACATTCAATCAGCGTTCTATCTAATACTTTAATTGAAAGAGACCGAAAGTTGTGGTGGCAGGTGTTGGGGTGTGCGCGTTAGGTGTGACACCTAACGTGCGAGGCCTACAAGGCTCTGCCATTCTAGGCCATAGGCTAAGTCATAAATATTGAAAGAGGCCGAAAGCAGTGGTAAATGGTTGTCACCCATCCGCGGCCATCGATTCATCACGCATGGCCGACGATGCTATGTCATTCTAGTCCGTAGGCTAGGCCATAACATTTTTAATAATAAATTATTTTCCATTTGTCGCTTTTCGAATTTGAAATGGTCTTTTCCATTCATGATTCATTCCTTCACTCGTGATTTATTTGCGAGGTGTGGTCTCGATAATAATAAAATTAGCTGGGCGGCAACACTTTCGAACTTCTCAAGGTTTGTTTTAAAAAATTTAATGTTTGGTTTGAGCCGAACTGCTTCATATCTTTATCATTTTCAAATTTCCGCCCATTAGACGGCCAGCGCAGCGGCCGTAGGACGTTAGTGA